TACCCTCAAACAAAATTCTTTCGCTGCATCGCCCAGATTCTCAAACTGCCTCTGAATCGTTTATCAACGAGCCTTAGGATACCATCTCATAATTTGTAGAGCAATAGTAGGTTATATGCTGTCATGCTCATTATGTAGAGAAGATTGTTAAAATTCCCCTCGTGGGTAGCATATAAAGTTAATCAAAATCACGTTATCACACTAACACATTGCCATGATGACGGAGGGCGGTTTAGAAAGAAGTTATATAGTCTGTGATGGCAAAATACCTGAAAGGGGAACCAGCATCATGATATATAAACACAAGGACACTGTCATTATTTGTTCATTGTGTCAAATTCAAAGTGTTAATGGTACACACGGGCAAGTTTTTCTTAGCCACACTACACACTCACAAATTTTCGTAAACACAAAAATGTATAAAATGAATGACATACTTACCTCATCTCTCCACTTTGTATACTGACGTAGAAAGCCAATGAATGGCGCAATTCCCGAACCGGGCCCCACCAGGACCAGCGGTGGCGCCAAGCCGGTTTGCGGAGCTCCGGGAGTCACTAGGTCAGGTAGCCGAAAGTTATTCAAGTTCTTGCGTAAATAAATGAAAACTGGGGGCTTCTGGACGGTATCTAGAGTCTTAGAGAGGTTATAAGTACGCCAGATGCGCTCTAGCCAGCTGGTGCAGACACCGTGCCGGCGGTAGGGATAGCGCCGGAAAGAGAAACACTCCAGACCAGTGATTGTGGAAGTTAGTGCCAAGGTTTCGAGGGGAACAGACGGGATTGGCGGAAAATCAACGCGCGTGAACACAATACTCAACTGCTGCAATCGACGGTCTATTTTCATGTTGGAAAACGAATCGGATCTATTATCTGGAACTAAAAAGTCGTCAGGCATGTTGATCAGTGAGTAAGAACGAGGACGAAGCCTTGGTAGCATCTCCAGAAGCTGGGCCAGCGAAGGCCTACACTCTGTGAATGTAGTGAGTATATCAAGAAGCGTAAGATTGTGTTCTCGAATGTATCTAAGCCCAATAAAAAATAAGAAAGGATGGATGTATAAAGAACGTTATTAAGCGCTAGATTGTTCACTTATCTCG